CTCTGGTCTCTCTCCCTCTGGTCTCTCTCCCTCTGGTCTCTCTCCCTCTGGTCTCTCTCCCTCTGGTCTCTCTCCCTCTGGTCTCTCTCCCTCTGGTCTCTCTCCCTCTGGTCTCTCTCTCCCTCTGGTCTCTCCCTCTGGTCTCTCCCTCTGGTCTCTCTCCCTCTGGTCTCTCTCCCTCTGGTCTCTCTCCCTCTGGTCTCTCTCCCTCTGGTCTCTCTCCCTCTGGTCTCTCTCCCTCTGGTCTCTCTCCCTCTGGTCTCTCTCCCTCTGGTCTCTCTCCCTCTGGTCTCTCTCCCTCTGGTCTCTCCCTCTGGTCTCTCCCTCTGGTCTCTCCCTCTGGTCTCTCCCTCTGGTCTCTCCCTCTGGTCTCTCCCTCTGGTCTCTCCCTCTGGTCTCTCCCTCTGGTCTCCTCCTCTGGTCTCCTCCTCTGGTCTCTCCCTCTCTGGTCTCGCTCTCTGGTCTCTTCACCACATAACAGGTTGAAGGTCGCGCTGTGTAGAAGAGACATTTACAGTGACGTGGTGTAAAGGGGCAGAGCTCAGAGCGATACCGAACACTAAAATGCGTTGACAACAGTTTCAGACCGATACTGAGATGTTCTAAAATATGCTCTACAGGGGGCGCTGCAGAGACAGGGGCTCAGTGGGACTTAGGCAAATGTTACAATACCTTCATGGACACCAGGGGGCAGTTCTAATTAGACTCTGAGGGGCAGAAAGGGAAGTATGTAAATGAGGACAGAGGATCCGGGAACACAGCAGGGTCCGAGTGTCCTTCAGCTCAGATATAAAGAAATCGTGTTTAAGAACTAACTATGTCTCTATTTCCTGGTTCCAGATCCTCCGTGACTGATTCTGTCAGTCTGAGGATTCATCAAAGAGAAGACAGCGGTTACACAGAAGGGGAGGGGGGAGCTCCAGATGTTAACTGCAGGTCTGTGACTGATGAGTTCAATTACACTATATACAAGTGATTAGAGTGTAGGTCTGAACTAGGACTGGACCAGGACTGGATCCGGTCTGAACCAAGTCTTCACCAGGACTGAACCAGGACTGAACCAGGACTGGACCCGGACTGAACCCGGTCTGGACCCGGTCTGAAACAGAACTGAACCAGGACTGGACCCGGTCTGGACCATGTCTGAACCAGGATTGAACCAAGATTGGACAAGGACTGGACCCGGTCGGAACCAGGACTGAACCAGGGCTGAACAAGGATTAAACGAGGATTGAAGCAGGACTGTACCAGGACTAGATCAGGACTTTAACAGGACTGGAACAGGTCCGGAACACGTCTGGACCACGTCTGGACCAGGACTGGAACAGGTCTGGACCAGGTGTGGACTAGGACTATACCAGGCAGAGACCAGGACTGAACCAGGACTGAAGCAGGACTGAACCAGGACTGAAGCAGGACTGAACCAGGACTGAACCAGGACTGAACCAGGACTGAACCAGGACTGAACCAGGACTGAACCAGGACTGAAGAAGGACTGAACCAGGACTGAACCAGGACTGAACCAGGATTAAACCAGCATTGAAGCAGGACTGTGACAGCTCTGGGCTGTGAGACTGTGGAGGATCTGTTTTCTCGTCACGCTTCAGTCTGAGCAGAATAAATGGATTTGTGCTAAAAACACGGGATCTGAAGTTTCTACAAGAGAGAGAAGGGGGAGGGGCACGTATGTAAATAAACTCTACATCATTAGAACCGTTTAAAAATGTGATGAGAAGAGGAGCAGAGGAAGCAGCGATCCTGGGTTTTCTTTGTGTTTGTGGAAGGACAATTTTTTTATTTACCGTAATTTCAGTACTAGAGCCGGTCATTTTTATAGTTCTTCGGACCCTGCGGCTTATATAGCGATGCGGCTAATATGTGTAATTTACTGTGGTAGAGGCAGAGTTTATGGACTTATAATTTCGACTCCAATCAAGTTTTTCTAGCTATGGGACACTGGTTTATTGTCAAAATAGATGCAGGTGAATGAGTCATGGAAGCTAAGGGTAACTGTTAAACACCTCGTCATTAAATCATGTTGTGACCAGTAAAAACAGTGGACAAAATGTACTTTTTTAAAACGTTGCTGTTGGACTTATATACAGGTGTGCCTAATAGTGCAGAAAGTATGTTATTTTTTCTATCTAATGTCTTTATGTGTGTCGCATGTGAGAAAATGTCATCATCAATAATACAAAGTCCCTTGTGTAAAGTGTGTAGTTTCAGATCCTTTGTCCTGACGAGGACGGAGCACAGGCCCGACGTCCGCAGCAGAAGCAGAACGTTTGTTTCGAAGCGGCCTCAGATGTTTTTCACCTTTCAGCCCGAGTCTCTGAAGAGTCGGATTAAAGTAAAGACACGTCTCTGAAGCTGAATCACTGCTGCACGTCTTTGTGTCGGGATTTAAGACTCGTGGATGTCCTCCAGGTGTAAGCGTGAATGTGTGTGTGCGCATGTATGTATTTAGGTGTGTGTGTATTTATGGGTGTGTGTGTGTGTGTGTATATATTTATGTATGTGTGTGTGTGTGTATGAAAGTGCGTGTATGGAAGTATTTATCGGTGTTTGTGTATGTATTAAAGCATGTGTGTGTGTGTATGTATGTGTATGTGAGTGAGAGCGCGCGTGTGTATAAACGTGCCCATGTATGTATGTGTTTGTGTGTGTGTGTGTATGTATTAAAGCATGTGTGTGTGTGCGTGCATGTATGAATGTGTGTGTGTGTATGTATTAAAGCATGTGTGTGTGGGTGTGTATGTGCGTATGAATGTATTTATGGGTGTGTGTGTATGTAATTATGGGTGTGTGTGTGTGTGTGTGCAGGACAGATCAGAAAAAGGGGGAGGCAATGCAAAGGGAAGGGAAGTAATCTTTATTTATATAGGGCCTTTCACAAACCAGAGTCACAAAGCACTTTACAATCGTGCTGGTACAAGAACAAGTATCCTCAGTCTTACAGATCAATTAACTTGTTAAAAGAAATAGTTGTTAACATTAATTGGAGTTTTGTTTTGGTGCGGTCACCTGTGCTTCTCTCAGACATAAACCACTGATGACAGTTTGAGCTCATTGATGCGATATGTAAATGATGCGATATGTGAAAGAGCTGTTTTAACGGTGATGGATGGTACTGAGTGGAAATAGCTGTTTATTGATCCGTTTTATCGATTGCTGCTAATGACAAACAAGTGCACACTTCATCCTTCTTCATCAAGAGGAAAATAGACTTCAGTCTGAACTCAAGCGGACTGACACGGGCTGAAGCAGGGATGGACCAGGTCTGAACAGCTCCATACGGTTATAGTAAAAAAGCTGCCATACTATTCTGATACCGTTTTATACTGGCCAACATCATGTTTTTTAATATTCTCACCTCTTTATGAGAAAATAATGGGACCATAGTTGATAGAGAGACCACAGAGAGTGACCAGAGAAAGACTACAGAGAAAGACCATAGAGAGAGACCAGAGAGAGAGACCAGAGGATGAGACCAGAGAGAAAGACCAGAGAGAGAACATAGTTGAGACAGTTTGTTTTATGTGCATTGTTCCAGGAATTACAGAGAAACTAGCTCTAAACTAAGATATACTGTTTTAGTGAGAGCAGCGGAGATAATCGGTGAAAACAGCAGAGTAAAAATGTGCCACAAAAATTAGGGATGAATAAGATTAAGTTAAGTTCACAAAGTCACAGTTTGAATCAGTGAAACTTGAGTTTAGCCTTGAATGAGCTGTGTCTGAGAACATGAAACGATGTTATGAGGCAGAAAGTTCCATTTACAAGGAGCATCACAAGAAAAAGCTACTAATTTCAGCTTTTTGCTTTTGACACAGGTGTAATGTGAGGTCCTTAACACAGGTGTAATGTGAGGTCTTTAACACAGGTGTAATGTGAGGTCTTTAACACAGGTGTAATGTGAGGTCTTTAACACAGGTGTAATGTGAGGTCTGTAACAGGTGTAATGTGAGGTCCATAATACAGGTGTAATGTGAGGTCCTTAACACAGGTGTAATGTGAGGTCTTTAACACAGGTGTAATGTGAGGTCCTTAACACAGGTGTAATGTGAGGTCTTGAATACAGGGTTAGGAGCAGAAGGGGCTGAGCACAAACAGCTGACAGGAAGTGGGTGTGGTGCTTCCTTCCACCGCTCCCAAAGCAGGAAGTGGATTTGTTTTGGAAGCTTTGTTTTTAGGGATCAAGAGAAAGAGCAGGAAACCGGATAAAAAACAAAACTACTACTACTGCTGTTGCTGCTGCTGCTGCTAGTGTTGTTAATACTGGGGTAGATTATCTCAGCAAAGGAGAAGTGCTCACTAACACACATTCAGGCAGATGGGAGAAACATAGACAGGGGTTTAATTTTGTGTGTTTTCTCTTCAGCTTATTTCAATCATGGCCCTCAGTACTCTGCTGCTGCTGTCTCTACTATTACTACTACTACTACTACTACTACTACTACTACTACTGCGGAAAGGTTTGCTAATCAGATCGCTGCTGGGGAAAAGAACGATGGCGATGGATGGATTCATGGGAGAAGAGGGGGTGGAGGGCAGACTGGTGTGAATGTGTGTGTGTGGAGGGGGATAGAGAGGGTGAGAGGGGGGGAGACTGATGTGTGTGTTGAGGGGAAGAGAGGGGGAGGGGGGCTGACATTTACACCAAATCCAGATGAAATGAGTTTGAGACCAGCTGAGAGTCAGACGCAAAGCAATAATATGACCAGAGGAGAGATGGGATGAAGGAAAGGAAAGAGGAATGAGGAAAGGAGACAGGAAAGGAATGGAATGAGGAGAGGAGAGGAGAGGAGGAGAGAAAAGAGGGAAAGGATGAGGAGAGTAAATTGGCTGTAAAGGGGCAGAGCTCAAAGCAAAACAGCAGGTCTAATTCCAATTGTCTCTTATTATATCGATTTGTCTCATCAATATGAGATTAACAATGTTCTGAATGTAATAACGTGTGGCTCATTATGTAGTGACAGGAGAGAGCGTAAAGATGGTACCTGTCTGTTGCGGTGGTTCGGCGGCTCACAGGGCTGTAGGTGGCGTCTGAGAGCTGGGTCTGGTTCTGGGTCTGGTTCTGAGTTTGGAGGTGGGTCTGGAGGTGGGTCTGGAGTTGGGTCTGGAGCTGGGTGTAGCTCTGGTGGTGGCTCTCCAGGGGACTGCTCACCCCAGCGTACGGGTGCTCCTCTTGGGACCCGCAGTCCGCAGACCGGGGGAAGTCCAGGATCTCTGCGTAGTCTCGCTCACGAGCCTGACGCTCGCGCAGCTCCCTGGTTTTGGCCTGGATCCTGAACGGAAGGAGCAGAAGACCAGGATGAGCAACACTGCTATCTGGTGATGGAGACACAGTAGAGAGCGGCATCTGACCACAGACATTCACAAAACTTGTTCAGAGCATAACTGCAATGTGTGCTGTGATACTGACGCTGTTGTGGTGAAGAGGGAGCAGCGTCTGCAGTCAGGGCTCTCGATTAACTGCCCAGTCTACATTCCCACCCTCACTCACTGGACATGAGCTCTGGGTACCAAGGGGAAAACTCAAGCTCTGCCTCTGTTACAGTGCCCATAGAAGGAAATTGGCTCTTGCTAGCTTAAATTCAAATCAACACTGTCAGCCCCCCCAGAAACGTACAAGAAGGTCATTTGGGCTAATCCAGGTATGGGCTTCACATTTTTACAAAAGTGTCGTAAGCCTCTCTCAAGCTCTAAGCCATTTGCTACAGAGATTTACAGCTGTTCATTTCCAAATACCATCTTGTTAGAGAAAGGGGAATCAGACTTCCTTGTGACAGCAATGGGAAGGTCATTTCAGAAATAACCTCACATAAGTCATGCCAGAAATCTGATACTTTCAGACACAAGACTTCATTCAAGAACTAGAAAAAAAGTTAAAAGCTTAGAATTTCTGGTATCTTGTATCGCATTTATTCACTGGTTTACTTTCTCCTCGTAGTAAATGTGTAATCTCCATTTGACCCGTCCTTCTATGGGGCCTCTGTCAGCTCAGGTTAGAGCTCCAGAGGCTGATTATAAACATAACTCCACCAGAACTGAAGGATATTACTTTTGGGGCATGTGTTGAATGGTAGGATAAACCGGAGCACCTGGAGGATACTGCTGAGACACTGGGAGAACATACAAAGTCCCCTCAGACCCAGGAGTGCAGACTGTGTTGAAACAGTGCATCTCTTTCTCCTAAACACCTCGGAACTGCGGCCACTCAGGTTTAAACTGTTTAATTTCACTTCTCTAATTAAGTCCCCTGGTCTGAGCGCGGGCAGCGGCGCTCATTTGCATAATCTCGTTAGCATAATGAGGGTGCAGCGGCGAGCTCGTAACATTATAAAGTGATTTTAATTGGCAGGAGGTTAAAGAACACTGCTGTGATAAAGTTCAGGTGGTTTTATTAATACAGCAGCGATTCAGACTTTATGATTAATAATATAAGTGCAATATTAAAAGTAAGTCATCTTTATATAGCTCCTTTCACAAACCAGTCAAAAAGTGTGGGATTTAGAAGGATGTTCTAACAATGCATGTTTATGTTTCATCAACTTAAACACATCCATTTCTGATGCTTCATTCTATGAGAAAGACATTCAAACACAATATTAATGTGATGTTATTAAGGCGTAAGGAGTATGTTAGTTCTCAATAAGAATCCTCTTTAAATCTATAAAATTCCACTTATTTTATTTAAAATTTTCCACTAGATTTATTGCTTTCAATTGAATGTAAAGTATTTAGTTAAAATCATCTCACGACTCTAAAGTGTGGTGGCTCCGGAGTCCTAACTATGATCCGCGTCTGCAGCTGGAGCCGGAATCCAACCTTTAAACAGTTCACATTTTAAGAGTATGCACCAGGGTTTTCCCACATGCACCACTATGTGGCGCTGCACCATGGAAAATTCCAGTCGCGAGCTGAAACGTTTTTTTCATATGGATTCAGTTTTATTTACTGTTACTATTTCTGCTCAAAGCCGACAGGTCTGTCTGAAACACATCCACCTGTGACTGAGAGGATTTGGACTTGATTCACGACACTTCAGAACAGAACAGGCTTTTGGACGCGGTGCTCGTTCATGTTTCTGCACCTCATGCGCGCTCGGAGCGCTCAGATCAGTGTTCAAATTAATTGTAAAGAGAAAGGTGCATGGATGATGTCTGTGGGCTTTAGATGAGACGAGAGTGCACACGGATCAGAGCTCAAACCACAGGGACTGGAGGAACGCAGCCCATGAAGAACAAAATAATATTATATGAAGATGTTTTTAGCTGCATGTGTCTGATCTGCAGAGAAACTGCAGCAAAGTTAGAAACTCAGCAGGACCAGAGCAAATCCAACATAAAGACACAGTTGTCGCCCTCCGTCCACGAGAAACATCTTCCTTTTAACTGTTCTCTTCTATGTATGCTGCGTCCCAGCACTTGGTCCTGTTCAGTGGGTGGATGCCGCAAACACACCCAATGGTCCAGTTAGGTCTAGTGCTGGTCCTAGTTCAGTCCTGTTCATACGGACCTCTCTTGCTCCAGCCTCATCTTCTGCATGTCTTCGTCTGCAGTTTCCTCCGGTTTCCACTTGGAGGAACCCTTTCGGTCCATCTTCTCCGCTGGACGCTCGTCTTTACGGTTTTTACCAAATCTGAAAAAGAAAAATAACAGTTCACTATTAGAAAAAAGGAAAGAAAAGAATCAGCATGTTCCAAAGAGCGATAGTTCCACATTGTAGTCCACATGAAATCATATCTGCAAATCAAGGGTCCCATTAGTGGTGACAAAGAAAGATTTTCAAGATATTGGCCACCAGAAAGAACTTTGATTTCCTTACAAAGTGCCTTCTTCCCACAGAGCTGTATTGGCACCTACTGAAATACTGTACTATTCTACAACATGAAACCGGTGTTAGCTGAAGTTACACACAGCAGCTTTATTCACTCACGGGGGTCGCAGGTAGAGCTTTAGATTCACAAGATGATAAAAAGTCATTAAATAATCGACCTGGTTTCAGACTAAGAGCTTTCCGCGTTCCTCGTTCTGATTTACGGTCCGTCCCCACGGTTTCAACGAGACCGGAGAGCGTCTGAATTAAGCGCCTCGTAAATCCGGCATGTTTTACTGCCGCGGGTCTGAAGGTGTCTCTGTGAAAGAGCAGGTCAGCAGACAGCGTGGGCCTCCATCCCTGCTTGCGGTCGTAAATCAGGGCTTGTTAAAGAGTTGCTGGACAGAGGGGAAGTGATGGATGCGTTTATCTCCATATTCACTCAGATTAATCCACTAATGCATCTGTGAAAGTTATAAGGACAAACGTGGCAAACTCATCTTTTAGTCAACTTCTGCCATTTTCCAACTTTGGTCCGCATCCCTCACAGACCTGCAGCTGGTTTTAGCTGCATCCACGCGGATTACAGGAGCTTCGGGCATAACCTGGCCCCTCCCCTTCACAGAACACGATTCAAATAAGAACATAACATGATTCTGTCCAAGGCCAAACCAACTAGGACTAGAATGATTCCAAAATAACAGGTAGGACACATCACAATCAGACCACAACAAGAGAACTATTATAATCCATGTTCCTCGCTCTAAAACAGTTGCTTCTATCACTCGTTTCCACATCATGCATTTTTGCGTCTTTCACATCTTCAGACCAGTGTTCAGTGAAAAAGTGAGGACCACCTTCACTCACCCAATCAGCACTCAGCCTGAAGAGTCAAATAGTGACTAGTTTTTTGGCTTGAGTGCACCGCTGTGATTAGTTCAGAGGACTACAGCGGTCTTCAGTCCTATCCTTCAGCACGGTGTCCTCTATAGCTGTATTTTACAGTGTACGCACGGCTTTTGACAGCTGCAGCAGCGCTCAGACCTACAGTGTGTCACAGTCCATTCTGATCAGCACTTTTTTTTTAGTGGTCCGAGACAGACTCGGATAATCATCAAGACAAATATGTCCTCCACTCTCAGTACGAACTGATGCAGTCTGGGAGCAGGTACAGGACTCCTCTGTGTATAAGTAGCAAGTTTAATAACTTGTTTGTCCATGAAACACCATACAACTGTTAAATAACATTGAGTGACTGTACACGTGTCTCCCTATAGGGTTTTATTTTGTATGTGTTGCTACTGACACAAGAATCCAAGAAAATGAACGACATTAAAAAAACAGCCAACCTCTACTTAATAACCAATACTTAATATTATGCATCGGTTTTATATCGCACTTTTTTGGCCCCTCCCACCACCACCTACACACCAGACTCATTCTAGGCAACGTGAGTGAAGAGTCTTGGCTAAGGACACAACAATTGTTTGGCACTTTACAGCCGCCCCACTGAGGCACCTGGTGTTCCCAGAGGTCTCCCATCACAGTACTAACCAGGCCCTGCCCTGTTTATCTTCAAAGGCCTGACAAGATCTGACCCGCAGGTATGTTTTCTTCTTGTTTTGTCCGTTTTTTTTTTGTACATGTGGCGCTACTGATCCCTCTGCTCCAAGAAACAATATTTTGACCTCTTGTAAAAATACTTGCTGCTGCCACCTCTGCTTGTTCACACCTTTTTACTTTTAAAGAGTCTTTCTGTTGGACTAACTACACCAAAGACCATTCTGATTTCATTCCTTGTTCATTATTTCCCCAGCACACACTCTTGTTGTTTTCCGCATGAGCTCATGTATATTTCACTTCCCTTTCCTCCTGTTCAAACTCTTCTGCTGCGTTTCTCTTGTGAGTTTACTTTATTTGGCTTCTCTAATATTCCCTTTGTTCAAACCCTCTCCTCTAATCTCACTTTCCCAGGTTTTTCCTCGCTCTTTTATTAAATATTTACGCTGGAAAACGCGCAGGTCTGATGGCGGTGCTTTGATGCTTTTGTTCTTGGTGGTAATTGGAGCGATGGATTGGAGGGGGCCGTTGTTTCTGCAGAAGCCTTGTTCTTAGAGTTGTGGGTGAAATTATCTCCAAAGACGTTCGGGAGCCAAAGTCATTTCGGCAGCAGAGGTTTCTTTTATTCCGAGTCGCTGGAGTAGAAACTGCTCTGGTCCCGGACGCGTGAGAGGAATTATCAAAGACAGGGGAGGCTGTGTGCCGCTGAGGCTCAGGCAGAAGTCAAGGCTTTGGCAATAAATGAGGGCAGCTTTACACAGTGAAACATATACACGAAAGAGTCCCCACTGAGCTCAAACAATTATTACACCTGTGTTCTCACATTATACCTGTGTTCAAAGACCTCACATTACACCTGTATTAATGTCCTCACATTACACCTGTTTTCATTTTAAGTCATCACATTACATCTGTGTTAAAGACCTCATATTACAGTTAGACTGTACAATGAGAACTGCTGAGCCTGTACATGTCTTCTCATCTGTCTAAAACTGCAATTTCAGAATGTCCAGTGAAAGTCAATGTATCTACTTTATATAACCTGCCATATAGGTATATGATTAGCATTATAAATATATATCTTACTACCAGTGTTGGGCACGTTACTTTGAAAAAGTAATTAGTTATAGTTACTAGTTACTTCTCCCAAAAAGTAACTGAGTTACTAACGGAGTTACTCCACTATAAAAGTAACTAGTTACCAGTAAAAGTAACTATTGCGTTACTTTTTCGTTTTGTTCTGGAACATAATGTGCACCCGACGTGCGCAGTTTTACCTTTAACAGTGCCAATATTTCCATCTAGAAAAGGCTGTTTTGCTGCTGAAGTCCTGTTCACTCTTCATCTCTCACTGTGCTGTAAGCACTAAACACCAACACCCGCCACTGTGAATGTGGAAACACCGGTGACGAGCGGTGAGGCTGGTGAAGCACTGACTTCAGTCCAATCAGATGAACATATACATCATATAAATCAAGTGGACAATTTGTTTGGCTACAGCAAAATATGTTTTATGCCCGCATTGTTTGTTCATACAAAACGCAAAACTATGAGTTATGGGTCTTACCTTATAGCTATACCTTATAAATGACCTGCACAGTCCACTTCGGTTCAGACCAGTTCCTTGTTTAAATCCAGTGAATGGTTTGAGCGTAGATATGTAATCCTCCATTTGGAAATGAGTCCAATGAGTTTTAAAAAGTAAAACAAAACGCGTGTGTCCTCCGTAAACTCCTCTGTTTTGCTGCAGCCGGCTGCATCCAATTTCTAAAATCAACCGTCTTACACTTCACCTCTCTTTCTTATCATTCCTATAGTAATTGAAAAATTACCCTATGTGCATTTTAGATTATGTAAAAATGTGTTATATGTATGTTAGCCAAACCTGTTGCTGTCCTTAGCAGATAAACCAGGAAGAGCAAGGAGCTTATCGATGGAATTGTATGCAGCCGACTTCTGCGCTCACATGCGCTCCTCTGAGGCCTCACGGTGATACAAGCCGTGGTTGAGCGCGATTAAGACCCATATTTGTTTCAAAAACACAATTTATGAGCCATCCTCTCAACTGTAGACATGTAGATTGTAAAGGAAATATGATTTACATCAGCCAATAATTGCTGAGAGGTTTTCTCATCCTCCCTTCTCTCATGACAACACGTTCATTGTGCGTCTTGAGTAACGCGCAGTAACGGGATGTCGGAAATGATAACGGCGTTATAGTTACTGTCAAAGTAATTAGTTAGATTACTCGTTACTGAAAAAAGTAACGGCGTTAGTAACGCCGTTACTAGTAACGCCGTTATTCCCATCACTGCTTACTACGGTGCTGTTTGTGCGCTGCAACATGGACAGATTCCCCACTGTGGACAAAAAAAGGTTTACTTATCTTATAATTGTGTTAAATACCTAACATTACACCTGTTTTAAAGACCTCACAATACACCTGTGTTGACTTAAAGTGCTTTCACACCGCCAACGCTGGAACGCTGACGCCTCGCACACCAGACGCACATTCTTTAATTTTCAGACGCAAGGGTCTTCAGACCAGAAGTCCTGGGCTGCGGTGGCGCCGCAGAAACTTTATATAACAGCAGTATGTGTTCACGGAGGTGCGCAATAAGTTTATTTTATTATTAAACAGTACTTCCGTATCGGCGAACACACTCGAAGCAGTTGCATAAAGTCACAGGAGCATGAAAACTCGTATGTTAACAAGCACTATGTCCCCCATTGTCAACACTGGTTTTAGTACTGGTGTAGCTCCTGCTTTGGCTGTTTACAGTATGTCCTCGTGACCACTTTGCGGCTCTCTGAATGGTCGCTGCACGAGCGTCCCGAGGACGCTCCTGCGCCTCTGCCGCGCCTTCGCCAGTGCCAGAATTGTAGATTGCTGTCATACACTGTAAAAAGACTGATTTATTTCTGTTTCAAGTTATTTCATACAAGAGTTTCCCAGTTATAGGTCAATTGTGACACAAAATGACTCTTATGGTCATATGGTCATGTCAAAAGTCAAAAGTGTTCGTGTGAGTTGATGAATGTGCAAGAGAGCGGGTGAATATGTTAATGAGCGGGTGACAGAAGTTCACACACGCTCAGGCCTCTGCGCCCCACACCGGCACTCAGAGCAGAGTGTGTGGACAGAAGCCAAGAGCACACGAGCCAAAACACAAGCCAGGAAAACAGCCAAGTGACAGGAACAGGGACCGGGAGCCAAATAACCCAGGGGCCGAAAACCAGGGACCGGAGCAGACACACCACAGCAGCAGATTCATGCGTAAAACGACAGTAACATGCTCCTATTGTCGGGCCCAGAAACACTGAGACCATGGATCTATATCTGGATAGAGTATTACTAGCTTATAGCTATCCCGCCAAGGAGCAAAGGGGCGCCCGTGGTACTGCAGACTAAATTCACGTTACCCAGAACTCAATGTAAACTTAAACAACTGGACCTCAGCTGACAGAGAACCTGACAGAGAACCTAAAGCTTTCACAAAGGTCGGATTTTGTGGGGATTTTTGTGTACCTTGTCATCCTGAACTTTCTTACTGGTTAACTCCTTCGGTTTTCTATAAATCCACACTTTAAGTAAGTAATCTTTATTTATATAGCGTCATTCACAGACGAGAGTCACAAAGCGCTTTACAATTGTGGGCATTTGTCTCTCAGTCCACACAGAGATAGGAGTGAGGTCGCCAAACAGGAGGCGCATGCCAGACATACAGTACATTTTTTTAGTGGTAGGGGAAACCGGAGCACCCAGAGGAAACCTACACAGACAAGGGGAGAACATGCAAACTGTTCTGACCCGAGATTTGAACCCCGGATCTTCTTGCTGAGAAGTGAGAGTGCTATCTACTCAGCCCCGTACCACTTTAGTGTAAAAAACGTTGCTGGTTTGTCTCCCGCTCTAGCTCCGCTCTGATCAGGCTCAGAGCAAAGCCCACATTAGACTCACTCCGAGAGATGACAGAATGTTAGGAATGGTCAAATCAACTTATTGGAACAATCTACAACAGAAAGAATGCAACACTGAGTTCAGCAACACAGAAAACCCGAAAGTCCCAGATCACAAGCCCTTCTAACAGTTGGACCGACCATAAAAGTGAAAGGACAGACCACAGCAGGAGGCCTCACCTGAACATGTCTCCGAGTCCTTTCAGGACCCCTTTCTTGGACTTGCTGTTGTCCTTCTTAGTCTCTTTGCCGTCGTGTTTCTTCCGGTCCTTGGTGCTCCTCTCATCGCTCCGGTGCCGCTCCTCGTTGTTTTGGTTTGAGCCGTTTAGTAAAAGTTTGTCCGTTCCAGAGAGAGGCGTCGTGTCTGCAACGGTGGAGACGGAATCCCGACCGGAACGAGAGCTGCACTCCGTGTCCTCCTCCACTGGAAACAGAGGCAACCGTTTTAGAGCGGCTATAAACCAGGGCTTAACGAGGTCTGAAGCGGGACTAGAGCAGGACTAGAGCAGGTCTAAAAAAGGTCTAAAACTGGAATAAAACAGGAATCAAGCAGGTCTATATTAGGTCTAAAGCAGGTCTAAAGAAGGTCTAAAACTGGAATAAAACAGGAATCAAGCAGGTCTATATTAGGTCTAAAGCAGGTTTTAAACAGGTCTAAAGCAGGTCTAAAGTTGGACTAAAGCAAGTCTAAAGCAAGGCTAAAGCAGGACAAAAGTAGGTCTAAAGAAGGTCTAAAGTTGGACTAAAGCAGGTCTAAAGCAGGACAAAAGCAGGTCTAAAGCAGGACAAAAGCAGGTCTAAATTAGGTCTAAAGCAGGTTCTAAAGAAGGTCTAGGGTAGGACTAAAGCAGGTCTAAAGCAAGACTAAAGCAGGTCTAAAGAAGGTCTAAAGCAGGTCTATATTAGGTCTAAAGCAGGTCTAAAGAAGGTCTAAAACTGGAATAAAACAGGAATCAAGCAGGTCTATATTAGGTCTAAAGCAGGTTTTAAACAGGTCTAAAGCAGGTCTTAAGCAGGTTTAAAGAAGGTCTAAAGTTGGACTAAAGCAAGTCTAAAGCAAGGCTAAAGCAGGACAAAAGTAGGTCTAAAGAAGGTCTAAAGTTGGACTAAAGCAGGTCTAAAGCAGGACAAAAGCAGGTCTAAATTAGGTCTAAAGCAGGTTCTAAAGAAGGTCTAGGGTGGGACTAAAGCAGGTCTAAAGCAAGACTAAAGCAGGTCTAAAGAAGGTCTAAAGCAGGTATAAAGAAGGTCTAAAGCAGGTATAAAGAAGGTCTAAAGCAGGTCTAACCCTCTCATGTTTCTTCGTGAACAGAGACATCAGTGGAGTGTTTTATTTGCGCTGTAACAGCCGTAATGTGCGATAATCGTGTTTTAAATCATTGGGAACGTTCAAACTACAGCTGCGGACGCCTTTATGGGCCGTTCCCATGAGTTATTGTCCCACATGACGACTCAATCTGATTGGACGCAGTTAAAGCTGAGGTACGTAACTTAATCTCATAAATATCACATGTAGTTTATCCAACAGAAAGAATCCTGTAAAATATTGTGGATGAATCAGGCCACAATCTTACCTCTTCATGTGAACGTCTGATGTGTAAGGACTACTCACATGGGTGTGGTTTGAAAGTTACATACCACAGCTTTAGTTTACTTATCCATGCTTGGTAACACTATAGATTAGCCCTCAAGAATTAACAGCTAATTAAGAAAAAAATAGTGTACCCTAATCCTAACCCACATGGGAAAGTGTCAGTTAGTAGTTAGATGTTAAATAAAGCCATGTAGAATAAGGACTTATAAGTGGTTAATAAATACCAATAAAGAGAAAATCAACAATAAATGATGACTATTTCAACAATTAATTTGTTGTTAATTAGAGAGGGCTAAACTAAAGTGTGACCCCATGCTTTGTAGTCATCCCCCATTCATATATTTCTGCTTTTAAGTTACAAATTCCAGCTTTAAACCCCTCCTTTTTTAGCTTCTTACCATGTCATTATGCATGACCCTAACCCATACTAGATCCTGTGTGAAGTGTGGATGATCTGAGTCTCTTATTTCTCATCTATTCTGCTGTAACGATGACATTTCCCACTGTGATCTTATCTTACATGTGTCCATGCCTTCATCCTCCTCAGTGGCCGGTCCTCGCCGTTCTTCGCCGTCGTACGACTTGTCAATGGCGGCGCGGAAGCTCTCATTGCACCCCCTCCCCCTCACGATGCGGTGTGGGCGGGGCCTGTGCAGGGCCACACCCACGTTCAGCTCCGCCACCGCCGTCTGCAGAGACTCCAGCGAACTGGACTTCTTCAGGCCGAGGGAGGGGCCCAGGCCTGCGGGGGTGGAGCCTGGAAGACCGAAAAGAGATTACAACAGAGCAGGGGTACCACAAGGATGCGTTTGGGGCCCATCGTTATTGTGTGATGAGAAGCAATAACTAGAGGAAACATTCTGCATTATTTTTGGCTTTTGCTTAGTTTTAAAATGTGAATTATCTTCAGTAGAAAATAAATGGTGAACTAAGTGTGAAGGGTCAAAACTTCTTTCTGCCGTTAACCACGCCCCAACTAATTTATGGGCAAAACTTTTGTTTTGAAAGTAAAAAAATGAATGAGTGTGAAATCATAGTCTTGTAATAGTATGACGTCATTGTACCGCTAAGACAGGGGTGCTCACACTTTTTCAGCATGCGAGCTACTTATAAAAGGATCAAGTCAAAATGATCTACCTACTACAAAAATGCAAATCATATATTTATTTCAAAAAATATTCTTTATATCTTCAATGTATGTTTATGTACATGCAAAATAGCATGAGCCAATATAGCACAACACAACACAATTACCTATGTACATTTTTTGTCATTACCCGAGTTTACTCTGATGACTTTCACTGAATTGAATCGGCCAGGGATGCATAGTCCGGAAAATTGGTGGTAACTCGCTGACAAGTTTGTCGTGGTTTAGCTTTCCTGCACTGAGCGCGGTTGTTTGCGCATGTGCAGTCACCTAAGTGTCAGTAAAACATTACTGAGTAAAACACAGATGTCATTTGACTGTGGTGCCATGTCCATGTGCCATGCCTGTTTTTTTTTAATACAAATATTTCCCCTCCTCAGTTTATAAAATAATTTGCATCCACACATCTGCGTTATCAATCACATTCGTAACATTCCAAACATGTGCGTCTCTTACGTCCTGTCCTGCGTTGGGGAAAAACACAGAAGTGGGCGGAGCTTTGATGCAGACGCCGGTAACGGCACTTTTACAGTCATAGAAGACATTCAGAGTAAAGACGTATGTTTACAAGCACTGACCCCGTCCTCAGCCCTGGTTTAGCCCTGATTTAGTCCTGGTTTAGTCCTGGTTTGGTTGTTTTCGAGCGTGAGTCCCCGCGATCACTTTGCTGCTCTCTGATGTGGAGGATGTTCGCTGCCGCGAGCATCTCACAGCGGACAGTTTTTAAGGTAGTATGATCCATGCTTCAGTGATCAGAGGAATTTAGGGGGGTACTGTGGCGTGCGAGAACGCAAAACTCCGGTTATCTCTGTCTACACACAAATGCATTAACGGAATTTTCAAAAATCTCCACTTTGCCCGGAGTTTTTTGTATATATTCGTTTAGAATGTGTAATTTTTTATTTATTTAATGCGATCTACCCCTGCGCTAAGACAAGAGAAGGGGCGGAGCTACAGGTTTGTGCCAGAGGTCCCTGTTAATAAGCTTGGATGGAACTAAAAACAACTCCAGGTGGGTGTTTGATGAAGAACATTTGCATATTATGTCTCTGGTTTAAATACACTGTTGTGAAGTGTGGCAGCTGCAGGTGAGACGCAACAGAATCCTCCCACGCGAACAGTCAGTCTGCAGCAAACCAGAACTAAAGAATCAACTGTGTTGCAACCAGATCGTATCTTTGAGAATACTTACAAAAGTATTTTTTAAATCTATGCCACTAGTTTCATGTATTTTCGGCCTCTGTCACATTTTTAGATCCGCTTTTTCAGAAAGAAAAGTTGAAAAGAGAGGACGACGTTCAGTCAGCCAATCAGCTCACAGCCCAAAGAGTCAAATAGTGACTGGGATCTTTCCTACACAAAAGATGACATGTTCAATCCGAATCTTCCTTTTACAATCACAAAGCGGTTTACAATTGTGGACTTTTGTCTCTCACTCCACACAGAGAGAGGAGTGAGGTCGCCAGTACAGGAGGCACATGCCAGACCTATTGTACATGTTTTTAGTGGTAGGGGAAACCGGAGTACCCGGAGGACACGGGGAGAACATGCAAACTCCACTCTTATTCATATACAAACAGTGCTTTATAAACACGGTGTACACTCCACAAGTGACTTAACCTTGAACCAAGCGCAAGTTTTAGCTCCAGATCTTATTAGTTTATCATCGACTATTGGTCCTCTTAATTGTCAATCATTCTGGTGATATAAGAGAAGATAAGATAATAATATACTTTATTAATTTCACACAGGAGAAATGTACATGTCACATTTGGCCTGGATAGAAACACTCAAGATTGTGCAAAAAGTAAGAAACGTGCAAACATGTTGATGCAGGATTTATTATGTACAAAAAGTGGCAATCAGAAAGAAGTGTCAATATTAGTGCAGGTTTTTTCAGTCATAATGCAGTGGCTTAAAGTGACTTGTTGTACAGTCTTTTAATCGGCGTTCCCTGAGGAGGGCTTCTCTATACCTTTAATAATAATAAAATAGATCTTGTTTGATGAGTGCATAACCTGACTGCTCTTATTTTCTCCTTTTATTTACGTTAACATTGAAATTTCCCCACAATGGGACGATTAATCTTATCTTGTTTTTCTACATAATGCCTGGGGTTCAGTTTCGTCCGTTTGGACACGGGGAAGGTCAGAGTAAAGAAGTGTCAGACGGCGGTGAAAAGGTTTTGTGGAGCGTCGTTTGTTCACACGTCGCTCGTGTTTGAGATGTTTTCGTGTTTCCATCGTTTGTGGAGAAGGATCCGGAACATGACGGGTTTTTGGCTGCGGCGCGAAGCTGAGGTTAAATTAGTCAAAGCACAAAAATAAACGAGTGTGAAAACGGCTCCAGAGAGAAGTGTGAAACAGACGAGACCAGTCCCCCACAGAGACCTGCTTCAGTCCTTGATCAGTCCTGATTTAGACCTGGTTCAGTCCTGCTTTAAGACCCAATTCAAACCCCATTTGGACCAGCGTTAAACCTGCTTTAGTCCAGCTTTAAGACCCGCTTCAGTTACACTCAAGGCCTTCTTAAAGACCTGTTTTAGATTGGCTCTAGTCCTGCTCTAGTCCTGCTCTAGTCCTGCTTCACCCTGCTTTACCCTGCTTTAGACCTGCTTTAGACCTGCTTTAGTACTGTTTTGACAGAGTGAACAGAGGGAATGGCAGGGTGCATCTTACCTGCAGTGTTGTCACGGCAACGGAGGAGGTTAATATCATCAGCCACTGTTAGGGAAGGAGACAAGGATACGAGCGAGGACAGAGGAGACACGGGAGGACACACGGAGACGAGCAAGGACAGAGGAGACACAGGAGGAAACAAGGAGACGAGGGAGGACAGAGGAGACATGAGAGGAGACAAGGAGACGAGCGAGGACAGAGGAGGCACAGGAGGGGACAAGGAGACGAACGAGGACAGAGGAGGCACGGGTGTACACAAGGAGACGAGCGAGGACAGAGGAGACACAAGAGGAGACAAGGAAGCAGGAGACACACCTGGAGTTAGTTCATTCCACATGCGTCTGTCAGTCAATTACATGATGTTAATAAGCGACATTATTATTATGGCATTTCCTGTATTCCAACAGCTTGATTCTCTGATCTATTGTTGGTGAATTGACAACTTTGTTAAGTCATCCGTGACGACTGCTGTGGTAATTTAGGGCTGTACAAAAATACATTTAATTGAATAGAACAGGACAGTGGACAGACCTGTGACTAAACCAGGTCTAAACAGGACTCAAATCAGGTCTGAACTGGACTAAATAATTTCTAACCAGGTCTAAAAGGGACTAAACCAGGTCTCAAATGGACTCAATCAGGTCTAAGCTATTTGAACTATTTCATACTTGTGAAGAATAGCCTTGGGAGTCATGAGATGCCTATTTGGACTGAGAGCGGAGTGGCTGAATATAGAAAACTAGTGGGCCCAAAACAGAACCTTGTGGCATCCCTGTAGACAGAGCAATTTCACAGATATAATTCTAACAAACTATTGAGATCATAATCAAAGAAAAGAAGTAGAAAATAATCGATAATTTCCAAGAGTCCTGAGAAAATCGCTAATGCTAAAGATAAAAGCTAACGTCAAATATTTTACGCTAATGTGAGAGTCTGCACAGTGTAATGTTATCAGTTAAAACAACTCTTCTATCAGCGTTTATTGAGTTATAAACGTTGTGTATCTGCTTTCCTTCAGTCGTGTCCAGTTCTCGTCTATATCTAAATGGGGCTATAATATTCTCTGAGCTTTTCTAAATACAGTACGTGTCTTCATACCTAGGTCCATGCTCTTGGACTTGCGTGTCTTCAGGATCTCCAGTGCGGACGCGTCGCTGAACTGTTTGGTGCGTTTTTCAGACATGCTCTGGCGCCCAAAGCCTTCTCTGAGGAAGGGGCCGTCTGTGGGGGGTCCGGTCCCGTCTGAGGAGGGCTCGTCTTGGCCCAGAGCGCTGAGGGAGGAACAGAGGAACAAACACATCACAACAGAACTGAGGGCTGCATCCAAATTCAAACATAATACTTCCTTGTACTTTCAATGGGATTCTTTCTGTAGTTTTAAGATATTCTATGAAGATTTTTACTTACATCTTGTTTGCACCATTTACAGAGATTTTAACCATTGTACACTAATCAGTCACTAACCTGGAGTTGTTTTTATCTCCATTCACGCTAATATCATGAAATTCTAGCAAAAATATGAATCTCTGCCCCATGTCTAAAAAACAGATACTCAAAAAACTAAAAAGTTTTGACAGGCCACAAGGAAAAATGGGAATGGACGCTGCTCAACTCTGTTACTGATAGATTTGAATCCTTATTATGCTAAAGCTAGAAATGTTGATTACTAGATTCTTTTTATGCTAAAATCAGAGATTGTATTGTATTTTATCTTAGCGTAGCATTATCGTTCATGTCGTCGTGTGCTCCTCATTCCTACTGTTCTGTGACCGGCGATGCAACACTGAAATTTCCCCACTGTGGGATGAATAAAGGATCTATAAATCTTAATCTTAAATTCGGTACTGAGTGTCAGTTTCAACAAAAGTGCAGCCCATAAATTAGTTTTGTTAATTTCTCAGATCAAATTACATTTCTTTACAATCGCATGTGTTTGTAGTCATTTTTAAATTTGGAAAAAAATTTATTCTTCTACTCTGGTGGAGGCATAGGGAGTTACAGGCAGAAAGCGTTTGTAGCCTTCATACTTCATACATCATCAAATGTATATTGAAACATGAACTGGAAATGTAAATAGTCTTATTATTTTATTTAACAAAAATGCGTAATATTTTGACTTTACGGCAAGTGGAAGTGGGGTCTTGCTTTACCTGTCAGGTTGGCTGGGCAATTCCTGGGTCCAGGCCGGAGCCCGGTCTGGGTCTCTGGTCCACACTGGGGCGTCGTCGCGGGCCCAGACTGGAGTGTTGGCTGGGTACAAGTGCGTCTCGTCGTGGGAGCTGGAGGAGGACTGGTCAGACATGTGCTGCACCAGAGGGGGCAGACCGTCCTCTTCGATCATCACCGTGTCGTCCTGAGGCATGTTCACCGTGGGAGAGAGGTGGTAGTGGGCTGGGGGCAGGAGAGACAGCGGTCAATGTTGGGACCAAACCAGGACTGAACTAGCTCTAACCCGGGATAAACCAGAACCGAACCAGGACTAAAACAGGGCGAAAGCAGGACTGAATCATGACTAAAACAAGACTCCAGTAGGACCAAACCTGAACAAAACCAGGACTAAACCACGACCAAACCAGGAAATAACACAGTGGCCAGGACTGGGTCCAAACAAGGTCTAAAGAAGGTTTAAAGCCGAACTTAAGCAGGTCTAAAGCTGGTCTAAAGCAGGAATGAACCAGGACTGAACCTGAACTGAACCAGGACCAAGCTAGGAAAGCACACAGCGGCCAGGACTGGCTTCAAACAAGGTCTAAGCAAGTCTAAAGCAGTACAAAAGCAGGTCTAAAGCAGGACTTAAGCAGGTCTAAAGCGGGACTAAAGCAGGTCTAAAGCAGGTCTAAAGCAGGTCTAAAGCAGGTCTGAAGCAGGTCTGAAGCAGGTCTGAAGCAGGACTTAAGCAGGTCTAAAGCAGGACTAAAGCAGGTCTAAAGCAGGTCTGAAGCAGGTCTGAAGCAGGACTTAAGCAGGTCTAAAGCAGGACTAAAGCAGGTCTAAAGCAGGTCTGAAGCAGGTCTGAAGCAGGACTTAAGCAGGTCTAAAGCAGGACTAAAGCAGGTCTAAAGCAGGTCTGAAGCAGGTCTGAAGCAGGACTAAAGCAGGTCTAAAGCAGGACTAAAGCAGGTCTAAAGCAGGTCTGAAGCAGGTCTGAAGCAGGACTTAAGCAGGTCTAAAGCAGGACTAAAGCAGGTCTAAAGCAGGTCTGAAGCAGGACTAAAGCAGGTCTAAAGCAGGACTAAAGCAGGTCTGAAGCAGGACTAAAGCAGGTCTGAAGCAGGTCTAAAGCAGGACTAAAGCAGGTCTAAAGCAGGACTAAAGCAGGTCTAAAGCAGGAATGAACCAGGACTACACACAGGAATGAACCAGGACTACACACAGGAATATCAGGACTAAATCAGGACTAAACCAAGATTGAATCCGGAGGAAACCAGATCTAAACCAGGTCTAAACCGGGATTACATAAGGACTGAACCAGGTCTAAAGCAGGTCTGAAGCAGGTCTGAAGCAGGACTTAAGCAGGTCTAAAGCAGGACTAAAGCAGGTCTAAAGCAGGTCTGAAGCAGGTCTGAAGCAGGACTTAAGCAGGTCTAAAGCAGGACTAAAGCAGGTCTAAAGCAGGTCTGAAGCAGGACTAAAGCAGGTCTAAAGCAGGACTAAAGCAGGTCTGAAGCAGGACTAAAGCAGGTCTGAAGCAGGTCTAAAGCAGGACTAAAGCAGGTCTAAAGCAGGACTAAAGCAGGTCTAAAGCAGGAATGAACCAGGACTACACACAGGAATGAACCAGGACTACACACAGGAATATCAGGACTAAATCAGGACTAAACCAAGATTGAATCCGGAGGAAACCAGATCTAAACCAGGTCTAAACCGGGATTACATAAGGACTGAACCAGGACTAAAGCAGGTCCACACACAGCAACACTAGGACTGAACACCAAGTCTTCTGCATATTTGTGTCGATGAGAAAATCCTGATTCGTGTTCCACATCGAGAACGGATTGAGAAATCTAAAACGTGCAGGTTTGTGTTTATACATTTATCGCCTGTTGTGACATATTTCCGCAGTGACGTGTGAAACTCTCCATATTTTCAGTCGGCGCAAACACTATAGAAATTCCTCAGCTCTGAAAATCACACTCACACAGGAAACAATGAAAACACAGCAGGAGCTCACGCACACAGGCCAGATTTAGTCGTACATACTGTGGCATTCCTTCTATTCTGTTGTAAAAGTCTATTATATTACTGTGTGGTTTGTCAATATGTATTTTACTGGTATGTGCGTTTCTCAATGGTTAGTATTATTGCTTCATATTGTACTGTTGTGTATGTAGATGGGGTAGGAGTTCATAAGCCTTACTTCTTCCCACTCTATTTCAGGTCTCAAGATGAAATATATATCCATGTATTTATGTCAAGCAACTGAATCCTGTATGAACCTGAACAAAATGAAATGCAATAGTGTGGTTTTGTTTTGTGTATTTATAGTCCCAGGGATTTCCATCTGTATCTGTGTCCAATGCCGTCGATCTACGACACCTGAAGAGGATTATTTCCCTTTACTCCAATCACAAGCTGACCTGTGAGAGAGACCAGAGGGAGACCAGGGAGAGACCAGAAAAAGGGACCAGAGAGAGATCAGAGACAGGGACCAGAAAAGAAGAGGCCAGAGAGAGGCCAGAGAGAGAGAGACCAGGGAGAGACCAGAGAGGCAGGCCAGAGAGAGAGGCCAAAGAGACCTGAGAGAGACACCAAAGAGAGAGAGGCCACAGATAGAGGCCATAGAGAGCAGAGACCAGAGAGCGACCAGAAAGAGAGAGAGAGCCGAGAAAGAGAGAGAGCAGAGGTAGAGAGGCCAGCAAAAAGGCCAGAGAGAAAGAGAGAGAGACAAGGGAGAGACAGAGAGAAACCAGAGAGAGAGACCTGAAACAGACACCCGAGAGCGAGACCAGAGAGACGAAGTGTTTATTTCTCGAACTACAAAACCTTATGTTACATGTGACTTCTGAAGTACTGTGCGAGGATGATTTTCACAGTCAGATTTTCATCGCGCTTTGATGTGATTTGGAACCGAACACGGAATGGTTCTTTGTTCCGGAGCCAGAGGAGGTTTTGGCAGGTGGAACACGGCGATGGAACAATAGCAGCTTTCAGTCAGAGCGCGACGCCGTCCAGAACGTTGCATTGTGAGAGAAAAGACTCCCACACGTCCACGGCGTTCAGCGGACATCACTCTGGCCATCCCCGCCTCTGTACCTTCAGCTCAAAAAGTAGCGGCCCTGTGAGTCACTAATTGTCTCTTTGGGCTGAGAGCTGATTGGCTGAATGAGGGCGGTCCTGTCTGAAAAAGCAGATCTAAGGCCAAACACACTGTACGTGCAAGGGAACACTAGTGAAGGATCTAGTGACATGGATTTGAAAATGGCGTTCCATTGCTGGGGTCTGAAAGTTACACACCCCAGCTTTAAGGGTTGGATTAAAATAAATATGTAATAAGATAAGATAAACTAAGATGGACTTTATTGATCTCACACTGGAGAAATGTACAGATGGAATCACTCAGATTGTGTAAAAGACAGAAGTGTGCGACATGTTAAAGGTTAAAAATATAGTCTGTGCAGGATATGATACAACAAGATAGATACAAGAATTTATGAGCCATTTACAGTAAAACCACATAGGAAAAACTGTGCAAGACTACTCCAGTGTGTACCACAGAGAAACACCAGAGGGAGAGACCAGAGAGGAAGACCAGAGAGAGAGACCAGAGAGAGAGACCAGAGAGACAGAGACCAGAGAGAGAGAGAGAGAGACCAGAGAGACCAGAGAGAGACCAGAGAGAGAGACAGAGAGAGAGAGAGAGACCAGAGAGAGAGAGAGAGACCAGAGAGAGAGACAGAGAGAGAGACCAGAGAGAGAGACCAGAGAGAGAGACAGAGAGAGAGAGAGACCAGAGAGAGAGACCCGAGAGAGAGACAGAGAGAGAGAGAGACCAGAGAGAGAGACCAGAGAGAGAGACCAGAGAGAGACCAGAGAGAGACCAGAGAGAGAGACAGAGAGAGACCAGAGAGAGAGACCAGATAGAGGCCAGAGAGAGACCAGAGAGAGAGCCCAGAGAGAGAGACAGAGAGAGAGAGATACCAGCAGAGAGACCAGAGAAAGACCAGAGAGAAAGACCAGAGAGAGACCAGAGAGAGACCAGAGAGACCGGAGAGAGAGACCGGAGAGAGACCAGAGAGAGACCGGAGAGAGAGACCAGATAGAGGCCAGAGAGAGAGACCAGAGAGAGAGAACATCAAGAGAGACCACAGAGAAACACCAGAAGGAGAGACCAGAGGGAAAAACCAGAGAGAAAGACCAGAGAGTCTAAATTAAACCTATATCTTGTTTGAGAAGACTAGATTGCAAGGCGGGTTAAAAGCGGAGTCATTCAGAGTCTGATGAAGAGAAAACAGGATGTTGATATCTGACTTTTGCCATGTTGTAGTCAGTTAGTGATGAGGAATGAGGTTAGTATGGGAAGAGAATCATTTTCTCTTTTTTTTTAATGGAATATGTCTTTTAAAATGGGTCAGATAAATTCCAGATTGGACTCTGCTTGAATCAGATCCATAACTCTCTCTCTGCTTCAGAACCCAAAACGATAAAGCTGCAGAAATGTTTAATTACAAAAGTCACGTTTTTGCCGCTTTGATATTCCGCGCGTGTCCACATTTGCATAATCAGACGAGGTTTTTGCCTTGAAAAGACTCTGGCCTTAAGGAATAATTACATGTGTTATCGTCTGCTGGAGGAAGCGGCAGCCGGGAGAGAAATGAGCGCCACGCAGAGAGGAAGCATCCAAATGAGACACGGGAACGTCCACCGAGACAGGGACTAAAAACACTAGCTTCACCGAGACAGGGACTAAAAACACTAGCTTCACAGAGACAGGGACTGAAAATAGCTCAATTCTCATGACCATGGTTTTATGGTCATGACGCATGGTCCTGGGTCTGGTTCGATGGCACTCACCTGTGGTTCTTGTTCTGGTTCTAGGGCCCTTACCTGTGGTCCTGGATTAAGTTCAAGGGTCCCCATATGGTTCTACTGTATGGCCCTTACCTGTGGTCCTGGGTCTGGTTCTAGGGTCCTCACATTGTTTTATGGCCCTCACCTGTGGTCCTAGGCATAGTTCCCTGACGCGGCATGAGGTTCTCGTCCAGTCCTTCCAGACCTCCGTACAGAGAGTGAGAGATCCTTCGCTCATGGTCGTCCAGAGAAGAGTCCAGAGAGAGTCGGGGCCCCAGAGGACTGAGTCCGGGATCCTGCGGCACAAACACAGGTGATGAGACCAGAGAGAGACCAGAGAGAGAGACCAGAAAGATCGGGGAGAAACTAGGGAGAGACCTGGGAAAGACCTGGGAGAGACCAGAGAGAGACCAAAGAGAGACTAGCAAAAGGAAAATTTATAAAACATTGTAGTTGAGAATTGTACATTTTGTAACAGTTGCGCAGAGCGTTTGTGTATCGTGGTCCATCGTCTGTTGTCTTGGCTCCTCCCTCTTGCCTCCCCCTCCCCTCCCCCCAGTCCCCCACGGCCCCCCTGTGTGTAAGGCAGCATTATCAGGCCGCGTCCAGACAAAAGCCTGTATTGACGAAGATGCTATCGCTATAATTATCCACTCGCCGTGAATGGATTTGCAATGCGGTGTTGTGTGAAAGGCTGTTCGCGCTGTTAGCACTTAGCGGTGAGCGTGTTAACGGTGAGCGCGTTAGCTTAGCACCCCCCACCCCCCCCCACACACGGGGGCCCAGCTGACACCGTCTGTTCACCGGAATGTGGTGTCCTCGCCCTCCTCACCTCCAGAAATGGGTTTTAAAGGATTCTCAAAGATACGGTTATCTCTCTGCTCCATATGTTCAAACAGTGTTAATGCTCAAAAGAACCTGCATTTGCATAAAACTAAACTAAAGATTATTGGACTTTCTTTCTACCTGTTGAAAGCCTCTGAGTGGAGAAGAAAAGACAAATGACCAAATATGGCCGTCCCAAAGTGAAGCGTTTATCGAACCATTCTCCAGCTTCTATTTTCTAGAGGTGACACCAGCCGCACGGTATGAAACTGCCCCTGCCCTCCAGAGACCCCCCCACTCTTCCCCCGTGTGTGACCGAACGGACCAAATCACCAAATCCATCTTCCGTCCGGAGCAGCGGAGCAATCAGGACGGATCAGCGGCTGAAGCTGGATCCTTCCACTCTCACACACAAGTAATGGAAAAACTCGAAAGCAATATTCGAGAAAATTGTTTTCTTGCTGGTTATTGGGGAAAAAGCACATGATCTGCATTTTGTGCAATAACAACTATTTATACGTTATAAAACAGGAAACCCTTGTCGGTAGTAGCGGCAAAATAAGTGGTAGCAGTAGTAGCCACAGTAGCAGTAGTAGTAGTAGCTGTATAGTTTATCGTTTATTTGTTTAATAAACACAAACACATCTCTTGGACTGTAGACTTGAGCTGATTTCCATCCGTTTCTCCGCAGTCACACTCATACCACACACGGATTCACCCTGAACTATTGTACATGTCTTTAGGGGTGGGGGAAACCGGAGTACCTGAAGAAAACCAATGGAAAAACATTTAAAGTCCACTCAGAAAGGCCCCGTTCCGACTGGGATTCGAACCCAGCCAATTTTTTCTAAGAAGCGAGAGTGCTATCCAGTTGAAGTAGAAGTAGCAGTAGTTGAAGTATAAGCAGTAGCAGCAAAAGTAGTGATTGTAGTTGTTGTAGTAGTAGTAATAACAGAAGCAGTCATAGCAGTCGTACCAGTGTGTGTATTGTGTGTGTATTGTAGAGTTCAAATCATACAGAAGTCGCTCATGCAGCTAAAGCCTGGGGCCTGGTGTTTGTTATTCATGGAGCTGCTGTTGTTCTGTGCCTTTGGGCCTAACACTCGCTTAGAGCTCAAACACTTGCTGACATTTACCAACACGCTGATGCTGTGATTTTAATAAAATATATATACTGGAGAAATGCAGCAGTGATTTAAGTCTGAGAGCGAGGCGTGTGCTCTGGGGGGATAAAGCAGTTAAAACAGAGGTACGCGACTTTTAAGGGGGAGGAAGAGAGGGCTGTAGGGGTTTGAACGGGCCCCGTCTCCGTCTGGGAGCCTCCTACAGCTCGAGTCTTGGATCTACAGCCTCAGTCCTGGATCTAGAGCCTCAGTCCTGGATCTACAGCCTCAGTCCTGGGTCTACAGCCTCAGTCCTGGATCTACAGCCTCAGTCCTGGGTCTACAGCCTCAGTCCTGGATCTACAGCCTCAGTCCTGGATCTACAGCCTCAGTCCTGGATCTACAGCCTCAGTCCTGGATCTACAGCCTCAGTCCTGGATCTGCAGCCTCAGTCCTCGATCTGCAGCCTCAGTCCTCGATCTACAGCCTCAGTCCTCGATCTACAGCCTCAGTCCTCGATCTACAGCCTCAGTCCTCGATCTACAGCCTCAGTCCTCGATCTACAGCCTCAGTCCTCGATCTACAGCCTCAGTCCTGGATCTACAGCCTCAGTCCTGGATCTACAACCTCAGCCCTGGGTCTACAGCCTGAGTCCTGGGTCTACAGCCTGAGTCCTGGATCTACAGCCTCAGTCCTGGATCTACAGCCTCAGTCCTGGATCTACAGCCTCAGTCCTGGATCTACAGCCTCAGTCCTGGATCTACAGCCTCAGTCCTGGATCTACAGCCTCAGTCCTGGATCTACAGCCTCAGTCCTGGATCTGCAGCCTCAGTCCTGGATCTGCAGCCTCAGTCCTGGATCTGCAGCCTCAGTCCTGGATCTGCAACCTCAGTCCTGGATCTACAGCCTCAGTCCTGGATCTACAGCCTCAGTCCTCGATCTACAGCCTCAGTCCTGGGTCTACAGCCTCAGTCCTTGATCTGCAGCCTCAGTCCTGGATCTGCAGCCTCAGTCCTGGGTCTACAGCCTCAGTCCTTGATCTACAGCCTCAGTCCTCGATCTACAGGCTCAGTCCTGGGTCTACAGCCTCAGTCCTTGATCTGCAGCCTCAGTCCTGGATCTACAGCCTCAGTCCTCGATCTACAGCCTCAGTCCTCGATCTACAGCCTCAGTCCTCGATCTACAGCCTCAGTCCTCGATCTACAGCCTCAGTCCTCGATCTCTCTCTCGATCTCAATATGGGTCTCCCTGAGGTTTCTAATTTTTTTCCCCACTGGGTTTTTGAGTGGTTCTTTGCAGATGCAGGAGGGTTAAGTGATGATCAGGGACAATTAGAGAAATTACTAAACATTTCTGGACAGTGGTCATCCCGCTCCCTATGAACAAATGGCTCCAATGCGTTTGTAATATTGCGTTTCCTGTGTTCTAACTGTGTCTGATTCTCCCATCTGCTTTCAAGGAATCTGCATATTTGTAAAGTTCTTCAAAATGGCTGCTATTGTGATTTAGGGCTATACACACACATTGAATTTGACTAAAACGAAGACAGTTAATAACTGAACCAACTTAAAGGGGACGGTATCCCACAGCTTTAGTCCTTGTTAATATTATGAATTATATTTCCATTACAAATCATCATGATAACTATGAGTCTCTTTACTTTGTCATTTAATGTTTTAGGATGTGAAATAATATCTTGAGTAGAAAATAAATGATGAGACAAGCATGAAGGGTAAATAATGCTTTCTGCGTGTAACTCTCAGTGCTGCCACCAGAGGGAGCTGCTCGGTGCTGCCACCAGAGGAGTGGAAGTCGAAATGAATAACATTTTCCAATTAAATTACCAAAACTAATCTATACCCAATGCTTTTTGTTTAATAAGTAAATCTAAATCTAGAAAGTTATCCAGGTCTATAATTGACATCTCCTTTGACACTGCTGATTGCCAACTTGATCTGTGGTCTGAGCGGCGCCTACAGGGCCTCTTTATGTGTGTAAAGGGGGAGAGCTCAGAGCGATAGAGAGGGACTTAAGACAGAAGTGGGGGCTCGTCTCTTTCATCACATTCTTTTAGATCAACATGAGATTTACAATGTGCTGGATACACAGCACTGACCACAGGGGGCGCAGTGGAGCCGCAGAGACAGGAGGCCAGCCTGCGGTCTGAGCGGAGCCTGCAGGGCCACACAGACTCACCGTGTTCTTGAGGCGCCGCGCCACGATGAGCTGGATGGTTCCTCGCCGGTTGCCCTCCACAGACATGGACTTGCGCAGCGTTTCCATGGCGTCCTGGTTCGTCTTCCCCAACAGAGACTCGTTGTTCACCGCAATGAGCTGATCGTTCACTCGCATCCGGCCGTCCTGAAAAGTTAGGTTCTGATCTGAATCCGAGGTAAAAACAAATCCCAAGAATACATTCTGTCTTCAACTTCACCTCAGAAAACATGTCATCTTTTCTCAGAGAATTAACCTTAAAACAGCTCTGTTTGTTACAAGTCTCTCCATGGCCTCAAAGTACATCTGTGACATGTAAAGCCTAGCGTACGTCGACAGAGTAACTGGATACACTCGTTGCAAGGCGGCTTTTAAAACAAACAACTGAAGTACTATGGGGGGACTGTGGCTCAGTTGGTAGAGCATTGGCCTTTGAGCCTGAAGGTCGTGGGTTCGAGCCCACCGCAAGACCTTCTCCACCGACTCCCACTGCTGTCTGCTGTCGTTGTGTCCTTGGGCAAGACACTGTAGCCACTTCGCCTAAAAGGAGCGCGGAATTAATGTTCGCTGCTTGCCTTGATGTGTGTATGTACTCATCAAAACGGATATTTACCCACTGTGGGACGGATAATGGGCCTTATTCTTCTTCTTGTATCTTCCTTCTTTTTTAATGTACTGTGATTATTTATGATTTTAATGCCTTGGGAGTGCCTGATGTGATTGGTGAATTTACCCAGTATGGAATCGTTTCTGTCTTATTGTTTATTCTGTGTTGTCTGGGTGACGTGGGGCGTTATGAGATAATATAAGTGCCTCCAGCCCCTTTTCAGTCTCTGTGCGTGCTTTTGTTTTCTTGTTTCCTGTGAAAATGGCGTCTGCAGATTCTGAAACAATCACAAATTTTTTCCTTGTGTGATGGTTCCTCTCTTGTTTTGCTAATAGTTTGAAATCCCGAGTTAAAGACCTGACTCGTACCTTGCAGGCCGCTCCTCCGTTGATGATGGACTTGATGAAGATGCCGAGGTCGGCGTGGTTCTCTTTGGAGCGGTTCCCTTTCACACTGACGCCGAGGCCAGCAGAACCCGAGTCACTGAGGGGGACCTCGAAGGTGAGGAACTCTCTGGTCCCGTCCGGAGTGAGGGTCAGCTCCTCCTCCTCGCACTTCTGCACAACACAAACAAACACACACACACACACACGTACTGGGCCTTTAATGGTGCACACTGAAGGTTCACACTGGTACCCACCACCTGGTTCAACACTTTAACTGGACCAAGACCGGCTCTCTGCTCTCTCTCTGGTCTCTCTGCTCTCTCTCTGGTCTCTCTGCTCTCTGATCTCTCTTTCTGGTCTCCCGCCCGCTCTGCTCTGCTCTCTCTCCCACTCTGCTCTCTCTACCCTCTCTGCTCTCTCTATCCTCTCTCTACCCTCTCTGCTCTCTCTATCCTCTCTCTACCCTCTCTGCTCTCTCTCTCCGTCTCTGCTCTCTCCCTCTCCGTCCATTCTCTGCTCTCTCTCTATCCTCTCTGCTCTCTCTCTCCGTTTCTGCTCTCTCCCTCTCCGTCCTCTCTCTGCTCTCTCCCTTTCTACTCTCCCTCTCTGTCCTCTCTCTGCTCTCTCTCCCCTTCTCCCTCTCTATCCTCTCTCTACCCTCTCTGCTCTCTCTATCCTCTCTCTACCCTCTCTGCTCTCTGTGTCTGCTCTCTCCCTCTCCGTCCATTCTCTGCTCTCTCTCTCTCTCTCTATCCTCTCTGCTCTCTGCTCTCTCTCTCCGTCTCTGCTCTCTCCCTCTCCGTCCATTCTCTGCTCTCTCTCTCTCTCTGCTCTCTGATCTCTCTCTCCGTCTCTGCTCTCTCCCTCTCCGTCCTCTCTCTGCTCTCTCTCCCTCTCTGCTCTCTCCCTCAGTCATGATCTCAGACCCCCACATAACTCATAACTCTGCTCCGTTTATGATCCTTGTAAATCCTGCTGTGGCTCATTTATTTTTCATCTCTCACTTAAGGCGCCTCCAGTTTGTTTCTCACATAATCTACCCACAAACGTGCAACAATCTGTCAATCACTGAGGGAAGAGAGAGTGCGTGGAGCTTGGTTTGACGGATACAGAAGACGCACGACAACAGTGGGAAAGGTTGGCGTCTTGTTAGGACCGGTTTGTTTTGGAGTCGGCTTTTCATCAGCCTTTTTGACCTAAACTCGTCAAAATAAAGAGTCAAAGGAAACTTCTCACTTTCAAAATAACTATTCTAAAGTCTACTAGAAGCACAAGAAGGAGAATCCATATCCTTCGTCTCTGTTCTGACCATAAGACCATATGCTGCTGCTTTCAACTCAATCCAATTCATTTTGGTATAGCCCTTTATTCAGAACAGTCTCTCTCTTATAGACCCCAGGAAGAATAGCTACTGCAGGTGTCTCCAACTTTTTCCCCCAGAGAGCTACTTTCCCTGGACAATAAAGGTAGAGAGCTACTCCTTCAAGCGGCACTGGTTAAAAAAAATTGTGATATAATGGTGTGAACGCCCCTGATAATGGGTACAGTCATTATTTGTCCTTGCATATTCGTTACTAGTGACAAAGTGAATCTGAAATCTTAAATATCAAGTATATAATTTGATTTGTTCATTTCTAAACCCTTTGGCGAGCTACCTGGAAGGGGGTGGTGAGCTACTGGTGGCTCCCAAGCTACAGGTTGGAGACCCCTGAGCGACAGTATATTTCAGTAGCTAATGGGGACTTGAATAAAAACAAACAAAACAGTAGCTTTCCCGGAAGACTTTACAAAGCTGTCCATTCGCCAACAACAGATCAGAGAATGTGTAGTAATCCCACAATGACTCCAAACAGAGAAAAACAATGAGAGGATTATCTGTATCACGATCTATGATGAAATCAAACAATGGAGAAATGTACAATGTTTAAAGTCATTGTAGTTCAGCGTTTGTTGTGTAGTAATTCCTCCCTATAACACGATTATATTCATGACGCTTACTTTTATTTAAAGTCAGAAGAAAACTCTTTTGGTTTGTGTGCACAGCAGTGATTAACTCAGGGGACTACCATGGCCTCTTTCGCTCTCTCTGCTCTCTCTCTCGCCCCGGTCTCGGTCTCTCTCTCGCTCCGGTCTCGGTCTCTCTCTCGCTCCGGTCTCGGTCTCGGCCTCTCGCTCCAGCCTCTCTCTCGCTCCGGTGTCTCTCTCTCTCTCTCCATCTGGTCTCAATCTGGCCTGTTGTCTTCCTTTATCCCTCAGTGTCCTCTGCATCTATATTTTACAGTGTGCGCACAGCTTTTGACAGCTGCAGCAGCTCTCAGTTAGAAAAGTGTATAAAGTGTGAATGGTTTTTACAGCCTTAAAACATACAGCTGCTACTTCCAGGATTTCACTTATTACGAGTTATTTTTAGAAAGTAACCCCAGTGACAAACCAGGGACCCCAGTTTTGTGATTTGTCGTATTATTAATTGGGTTCGCTGGTTCTGAGCATGTGCAGAGCGGGTCCTTCAGATCTCTCTGATGTTGAAAACTTTACATGGTTTCATTTCACACGTCTCTCTCTCTCCCAGACTCTGGTATCTCTCCCTTTGCTCCGACGTCCTGCTGATCCTCATGCATTTCAAACAGCAGCTGATTCTCTGACACCTGGAGCCACTTCAAACATTCTGCACTTAAACTTTAGCTTCAGTCTTCGATCCTAAAGCCTGATGTTTGCTCAGAGCACACACTGGCTCTTTGTAAACAGGTCCAAATGTGAGTTCTTCTGCAACTGCTGCTGTGACCTTCCCTCAGTGTTTAATTAAAGCCTTCGTTAGCTTCAGAAAGAGACTCGTTCCTTCAGTTCATTTTCTCATTTCATTTGTGAAGTTTGTCGTTCCGGAACTTTGGAGAATTCAATTATACTCGGCCCGATAACGAAGCAGCTTCATCCAGACTCCATTATAATGAGAGAGTGGGCTGCATGCACAGAACACTCTGTGCCGAGTCTGCCCCTCTGTCAGAGGACACTAACCCTAAGTGACTAAATTATATCAAGATCCAATCCACTTTATTTTTACAGCCTATTTAAAGTTTCCAACATGCTGCACAGACACAAAATACACACGCAATAAATATTGAAAAGAAATGGGTCTCGTCTATGAAAATGTAATCCTCTTTAGTATGGTATAATTACTAATGACAGTTAAAACATGCGCCTCTGGTCATATGGATGCTCTGTGTGTTCACTGTTCTGAATTTAATTTTTTCCTTTTCCTTTTTTTGGGGCGACATTAGCTCAGTTGGTAGAGCATTGGCCTTAGAGTCTGAAGGTCGTGGGTTCGAGCCCACCGTAAGACCTACTTCACGACTCCCACTGATGACTGCTGTCGTTGTGTCCTTGGGCAAGACACTTAACCCCACTTTGCCTGAAGCCCCTGCTGAATAATTAAGGCCCCTTTGCACTCACCACCAGCAGGAGGATCAGTGAGGGGCTGGTGCTATGTGGACTGGGTGCAACTCTGACTGCCACCCCTCTGATCCAGAAATGGATTACGGGGAAGAAAATAGATGGATGGATGGATTTTACTTTTTTTCTTTAATGCAACAAAAACCTTAAAAAACATATATAAAACAATGCCAGGGACTAGGTCTGGTTTTGGGAACAAAGCCAGGGACCAGGTCTGGTTTTGGGGGAGGTGTCCCAGCAGGTCCCACTGTGAGGAGGCCACGAGAAGAACCCAGGACACAGGGGGAGGGATGTGTCTCAGCTGGCCTGGGCACGCCTCATGTTATCTGGTCTCTGCTCAGACCAGATAACGGATGGACTGTTTGATCTTCAACTTGTAGCTTTATGAATGAATGGTGTTCATGTATGTGTCATGCATGTGCCCAGCACATACAGGTTTATATGACACCAGTACAAACACAGGATAATCCAAGCAACAACAACAATGTCTGCTCTGGATAAAGAGAGAGATCATCAGACAGCAAAAACAAATCAGGATTCTTATTCTGTATGATCTCATTGGACCAGGGTTAACGCTTTGCTCTGTCCCAGTTAAACACTTTTTGAGTGAGCAGCTCCTCTGACAGACCCACTGTGCGGCTTTGATAAGCTAGTACGTTCGGCGTCTTGCTTCCGTCATCACAGTGTGTGAATGGGAAAATATCTGGTTTCTGAACATTGTAAAGCGCTTTGGGTGACCTTGGTCTGTAAAATGTGCTATATAAATAAACATTACTTACTTACTTACTAGTATAGTGTTCATTATTTTACACTAATCTAGACCAGAGCAGAGGATGCACTGTCCCAACCAAGCAAATCCACTGAAGGACTCTGAACCAGAGCAGAGAAAATGGTTCAAACACAGGATAAGTATTCAGCAGCTCATTACCAGCGGCTGTTTCACCCCTGGATGGTAGACACCTGGATTTCTCCAACAAGGATCAATACAATATCTATCCATCTTCAGCTTTGAGGGCCCTTCCCTTTATAACTTTGGTTCAGAAAGTCTTCTGCTGTGAGGAGGTCTGAAGTCTGTGACAGCTACATTATGGTCTGAAGGGTTCTGGGAAAAAGTGCGGCATCATGGGAGCTGTAGTCCCTCAGCTCTAATGGCTTTGTGTTCGATTTATGACCGTAAATGAAAAGTGTATCAGCGCAGAGTGGATTACAGGAAGGATGGAGAGCTCCGCACACATTCTGAGAGAGAAGTGGACTTTCATTAGTCTCGGAGCAGCGGCAACAATGAAAACACGGAAGAATAATTAAAAAGATGGAAGAAACTTTTGAATAACAGGAGAATACAAAGAGCTCTCAGTAATTCTTGTCTTCTTAGTGGACTTTAGTTGACATAGAAAAACTAGGAAGAGTTAGCTCAGCTGGTTTTAATCAGTCTTAAAGCTGGGGTACCCAAATTATTAGTCTTTTAAATAGCAAAGTTTGTCTGACGGAAAGAGTCTTGTCAACGTAAAATGTTATGAACAAATGAGACAAACGACACGCTGTTTTCATCTTATTAGGAATCATGTTATATTTTGTGTAAAAATATTTGTTTTTTCTATGTACTTGTCTTGTGCACAATGGGAACGTTTGCAGATGTATTCCAATGTGGTTTTACTGCAAATGACAAATAAATGAATCTAAATTTTTTACTCTTTGGGCTGAGAGCTGATTGGCTGAGTGAGGAT